CGGTGATAAGCAGAGACGTACATGGACAACATGTCTGTAAGAGTTCGGTTGAGGCGCTCTGTGAGACCGTTGGTCTGGGGATAATAGGCAGTGGTAAGGTGATGTTCGGTAGAGCAGCCCCGGACGATTTCGTCGATAACTTTTGCGAGAAAGCAGTGGCCACGATCCGTCAGAAGCTGGCGCGGAGCCCCGTGCCACAGAATGACGTCATTCAGTAGAAAGTCTGCAACGTCTGTAGCGCAGCTACTTGGCAAGGCACGAGTTATAGCATATCTGGTCGCATAGTCTGTTGCGACAGCGATCCATTTGTTGCCTGACACGGACTGTTGGGAAAGGTCCGAGCAAGTCGAGGCCGACGTGGAAGAATGGTTCCGGGGGAATGTCGATAGGTTGGAGCAGGCCAGCCGTACGGAGAGTAAAACGTTTGCGACGCTGACAGCGCTCTCAAGCAGCGACATAGCGGCGCACAAATTTATACAGGTCAAAAGAACCGTTGCCGCACGCGATGATAGGTGCGTGAAAAACCTAGGTGTCCTGCCGTCGGAGCGTCATGCAGATGTTGAAGAGTTGTGGCACGCAGGTGTCGGGGGATAACCAACAAAAGGTCCGGGCGATCAGGCTTCATGTTTCAGTGGTACAGAATTTCGTTGCGGAGGACATATTGACGGAGCAAAGGGTCGGAATGTCCTGAAGATACTCGCTCAATGACCGTCTTGAGGGTTGCGTCCCGGCGCTGCTCCGTGCCGATGTCGCGCAAATCGGATATGGCGAACACACAAGAATCGCTCTCATGGACGGCGAGGCTAGCAGGATCCACCGGATAACGCCAGAGACAATCTGAATCTTGGTGTAACCTGCCAGACTTATAAATTACGTCGAAGTTATACTCCTGGAGACGTAGAGCCAAGCGACCTAGGCGACCGGTTGGGTCCTTGAGCGACGACAACCAACACAGAGCGTGGTGGTCCGTAATAACTGAAAACTCCCGGCCATACACGTAGGGGCGAAATTTCGCTACAGCCCAGACAAACGCAAGACACTCGCGCTCCGTTATCGAATAGTTTCGCTCAGATGTGGAGAGAAGGCGGCTGGCATACGCAATAACACGCGTTTGGCCCTCCTGGTGTTGAGCGAGGACGGCGCCGATGCCGTGAGCACTGGCGTCTGTGTGAACTTCAGTCGTCGCGGACGGGTCTAAGTGAGCCAGTATTGGTGGTGAAGTGAGCAGCTGGATCAGCGTGGAAAACGCAGCTCCTTGGTCTTGGCCCCACGAGAAGGGCGCATTCTTTTTTGAGAAGATCAGTGAGTAGTCGTGCAATTGTAGTGAAATTGCGTATAAAATGTCGGAAGTACGAGCATAAGCCCACAAAAAAAAAAACGAACATCTTTGGTAGTAGAAGGAAGAGGAAAGTTCTTGACAGAGCTAATCTTGTCAGGGTCCGGTTGGACGCCAGCAGCACTTACACGATGACCAAGAGCCATGATTTCTCGTCGGCCGAAATTGCACTTTTTCGAGTTCAGCTGGAGTTCCGCTCGACGAAAAACGGCTAGAATGGTCGACAGGCGAGTTAGGTGGCTTTCAAATGTTGGAGAAAAAACAATCACATCGTCGAGGTAGCAAAGGCAGATGGACCATTTATAACCACGGAGGAGAGAGTCCATCATGCGTTCGAACGTTGCCGGGGCATTGCACAGCCAAAAAGGCATAACCTTGAACAGATAAAGGCCGTCCGGTGTGACAAAGGCAGTTTTTTCGCGGTCTAAGTTGTCGACAAAAATTTGCCAATAGCCCGAACGCAGATCTATAGAGGAGAAGTAGCGCGCGCCATAAAGGCAGTCAAGGGCGTCGTCGATTCGGGGCAGCGGATATACGTCTTTGCGGGTTATCTTGTTCAAGGTACGGTAGTCAACGCAAAATCTCCAACTGCCATCTTTATTTTTGACTAAAACAACAGGCGACGCCCATGGACTTGAAGAAGCCTCTATGACTCCTTTAGAGAGCATCTCCTCGACTTCTCGTTGTATGACCTGGCGTTCGGACAGGGAAACACGATATGGTCGCCGTCTAACAGGACTAGCATCGCCGGTATGTATTTGATGACGCACGACGGACGTTTGACCTAAAGGGCGGTCATCGTTGTCGAAAATATCTCGGTAGGTGGTCAGAACGTGGTGGAGTTGCGCATCCTGACAGGGCAGAAGATCAGGGGCAATCATCATCGTGATTTCATCGGTAGGTGCGTTTGCTCGGCTGGCTGCAATAGGGGACGAGCAGTCTTCACGGTCTAATGCATGGATGTTACATGCATCAAGTGGGGAAACATGGCCAAACGAAATGCCTTGCGGGAGAACTGGGGTCGAACTACTAAAGTTGAGAAGCGGAAGCTGAGCGTAGTTGTCCACGATAGTCATGATGGTATGCGGCACAGCAACACTTCGCGCCAAGAGCACATCCACTAATGGAGACACTATGTAGTCACTGTCAGGAAGAGCTGGTGATATCGTTAAGGCCGCAAACGTGGTGGCTTGCGGCGACAGCCGAACATAATCAACAGTGCACAATCGGTGTGACGGTGAGGACGGCACAGCCCCAAGTCGAGGCAGTTCAAGTTGGAGAACGCCGGTTGCACAGTCAATGAGAGTGGCATGAGTGGACAAGAAATCCAATCCAAGAATCAGGTCATTGGGGCACTCCTCGATAACTGCAAAGAGAACAGATGTGGGGTGATCGGCGATTGTGATGCGTGCTGTGCACATTCCTATGTTGGCAAGACTTCTTCCGTAGACGACACGAATAATGCCAGAAGCAGCTGGTGTGAGAACTTTCTTCAGGTGGCGATGAAGTCGGGCACTCATCACAGAAATATGCGCCCCTGTGTCAATAAGTGCAGAAACAGTCAGGCCATCAACGTCTACGTTGATCAATTTTTGTCGTGTCGGCAGTACAAGGAGAGGATTTAAGGTCGGTATCGAGGATGCAGCTTCACCTGTAAGAGCTGCACCGCTTTGTTTCCCTGATGAGAATTGAGCGGGGAGGTCGGGCGTCGTCGTAGATGAGAAGGGGACGACGGGCGACGTGCAGGCGGCGAACGAGACTGATGACGTCGAGGCGATGGTGAGCGGTTGTGCTGCGTATTAGGGGCATCGAAAGGTGGAAGGCGGTGGTAGCTGTCGGGGATCGGCGCAGAAGGCTGGAAAAGGCGGTAGCTGTTGGCACGGCGAGCAGTGTTATACTGTGTTGGGGATGAAGACCAATGGTTGCGGCAATACCGTGCAACGTGCCCTATGCGACGGCAGTTAAAGCAGATCGGCCGATCATCCGCCGTTCGACATTCGGCCGGTTTTCGAGAGCGTGGAAAAGACCATTCCTGGGGCGGTGACCTGGGACGAGGCGGCGACCTTGAACGGGAGCCAAATGGTCGAGACTGAGCAACGGCGCAGACATCGAAGCCCGAATTGCTGAGTTCTTCCCGCACAATCGACTGTACCAACCAAACCTGAGGTACTTGCGAATCGATGTGGCCGTTGCTGGGAAGAGCAGGTGTAATTGCTTCGATTTCCCGCCGGACGATTTGTGTAATTTCAGACGCCGGTGAAGGCTGCCGATGAGAGGTCAGTCCATCTTCGCAGGAGGACGTCGCAGCGGGGTTCGGCAGTCAAGTGAAAGATCTTGAAATACGCCTGCTTTTGGCCTGTTCAAAACGCCGGCATTCCTGAATAATTTCCTCGATGGTCGCACAGTTCCGGCACATTAGCAGGTTGAACGCAACGTCCGCTATCCCCTTGAGGACGTGGCCAACCTTATCCGACTCCGACATATCGTTGTCGACTTTACGACATAGAGCGCCAGCACGTCCTGTATATACGAGATATACGGCTCTGTGGACGTCTGAGCACGTATAGACAACTCCTTTTTTGCAGCCGCCTTTCGACCGATGGGCTTCCCAAATAAATCGCGAAGCTTCTCCTTGAACGTGTCCTAACTGCCGATCTCCCCTTGATGGTTCTCGTACCAGACTTTGGCCGTGCCTTTCAGATAAAACAGCACGTTGGCCAGCATGAGAGTCGGGTCATACCGGTTGAGCGCACTGTAACGTTCGTAGCTATCCAGTCGTCAACATCAACATCGTCCGTACCGCAGAACGTTCTTGGATGTTTTGGATGCGTCAGCACGTACGTGGGTGGAGGTGGGGCTGGTAGAGGCGTTGCCGTGGATGGTGCAGGCGTTGCCGAGGCGGATGGAGAGGTGGCCGTGGGATCAGTCCCGTGTTCCATCACGGAAAATCCGATTTGACGACCACTGCGGAGCTCCGTTGTAGTGCGCTTCGTTACCCAGCACGTCCACCAATTTGTTACGGGGATTACAAATTGACGGAAGATAGAAAGGAGTGTATTTGCAATATTTACAGGTAGGTGTGACACCTCAGGGCAGCTAGGATCTCGCGCGCCGAATCCGCTTCTTCTTCATCGATGCGTCTTCGACGGGGCGGAGCCATGCCCACTGCCTCGTAATAATATCATGCGTTGTTAGGTATTATTTATTACATATGTTTCATTTTTCCAGTTCCATTGAAATTGTGCATTTTAACTGGGTGTATGCTTGAATTTTTGTATTATTGCTAGTTTTTATATTACTGCTGCCATGTGGGGACCTTTAGGCACATTGAAACTCTCTAGTACAGCTTTTTTGCTGATGGACCCCCCTCCCCCCAATAAAGCTGGAAAATAAAGTAAAAAAAAATTCTGATTTTGTTTGTGAAGTGGTGAAGTGGTGTAAAGTGGTGAAGTGGTGGGTTTGTGAAGTGGTGGCTGCACAGCTTTGACTCGTTGCTATGGTATAAACGAGCCTAAATTTCCGTGTTACTGACGTGTGACAAAAAGAATATATACGCGCAGTTGGTTACGTGACTTCTTCTTCGTATAGGCGATTCCAAGAAGCTAAGAAGCAAGCATTACCCGAAGCAACATTCCACCCAACGAGAACCCATTTAAGCACTCACCTGAATATATGCGGCCATATGGTTTCAGGGTGGAAAGAAATACGACAGCTTCAGTGTGCCTGGAATAAACGTGAACAAGGTAGCCCTTTCGTCAACAGTCATTTCTTCATAATTGTGTCACAGTTGGTTGCCACTAATAGCGTTCCCCGTATTTTCCTTCGTCTGGTTCTCTGCAGGTTCTCATAATGGTTGTGTTTAATTTGTAGTACCTCCGTCAGACGCAACGCCGTAGCCGTACTAAAGCTAACTATGGTTGAATCTCTGCGGTTAGAGATAGCCACACGGGAGACGTATGCGCTGTTTAATGGAACTGTATGGTTACGGATGTCGGGCACGTTGGCTGTCGTGTAGGCGCGCATAGAGAACTTTACTATATGTAGAAAGACCGTTTAGGAAAAAATGTTTAACGATTTCTAGTACTTCGTACTCAACTATAAGAGAGCCCTAGCCGTCCCACTAAAAGCGGATCCACTGGTTTAAGAGAATTTTATTTCCAGATATGTGTTACATAGCTTATGTGCACACAGAAAGATGGACAATGATGATCATGTGTATGTACAGTGCAAGCTGTTATATACAGCGAAAATAACTTATCTGTGTATGCAGTAGTGTACAATGCAAAAATTGTACAAGTGCAGAACATTCATGAACATCGAGATGTGTAAATTTATAAACCAGTAAGGCTATATACACAAACAAGGAGGGTCATTCACAATGCAAGGTGACGTTATTGCATTCACCTGTGAGGACAATTTGTTCTCGTGCTCAAGAACAATTTTGAACATAAAAGAAAAGCGTATCCACTCGAGCCTTCTAAGCGCTTGATTAACTGCTAGATCGTGTACCCATGCTAGCCTTTTCTTCTTTTTCAAGGCATGTGAGAGCCGCCTCCAAAAGCACAATGAAAACCCAAGTTTGACATCAAATTTGTGAAAGGAAGAAACTTTATTGATTTTTGTAATTTGCAATACCCGCTTTAAATCGTGTCCCGCTGAGGTTGTTTTTTGCTTTTCTACAAAAACCAGTAAAGTCTGGCTAGAAATTGTTGTCTTCCTGCATTTGTTTTGCTCAAAGGATACACATTTATGTGGTGTAGATGCACTGCGCATGTATTTCCTTTGCGGTAGCACGGGTGTGTAGCCTACTGGCAAGGACAATAGCTTGATAAGCATGTACTAGTTCAAATCCCAACATCGGAAAGACTAATTTCTGTTATTTTATTTATGCTGAAGACATTATCAGGCCTAACCAACCACTCGTGGCACTGAAAGCACCGCAGTAGCTCGGCCGCAGGGCCCCACGGGAGTGTCCGCTCTTTACGTAAGTATGTTTCTCTACGAGGTGCGTCTCTCACAAACGTCCTTCGTGAGGTGTAATGACGCATCGTGGCGCGCTCTCTCAAAGGCGATGCAACTTTTAGAAAACGCTATTCGCAACTTTCACAGCCTAGAGAGGGCGCTAGTGCGTGCCCAACATGGCCGTCGTTTGGGGGATCATGCAGCCGGCGCGCCGGCAGCCGCCGGTGGTGTGCCCTTGACTTCGACCTCCGTAGTACTTGTGGCTGCAGCCACCGTGTTGGCAAGGCTTTGCTGAGAAATCCGTTGACTCTAGCATGTATTATATTCGACTCTTCGTGTTCAGAAACGCGTGTGCGGCGTGTATTGAAGGAAAAGAACTTTTGAACGCCGGACACATCGTCTGCTGTGGTGCGAAGGAAAGCACGTACAACTTTGTGAACGCTGTTCGTGCCAAGGCCGGGGAGGATCGAGCGGTCGCGCTCGTGCAACACAGGAAACGTCGCCTTTAACTGCATGGCGTCTGCACAGCGGCATCCAACATACTTCGTGATTCTTCTAGCTCAGCAAGCGAACAAATCGCAGTACCTGTCCGACTTCGCTAGTTCACTACCGAATTCAGAATAACCTTAGATAAATTGCCAGCGACAAAATATAAAGCACCAGCGAACCGCCAAAGCGAGGCCGACCGAACGATGGCATGGGCTGGCTGCGTGGGCATCCCCAAAACGACAGTTACGACGGTTGCCGCATGGCGACGCCACCATCCGTGAAAGTTGCGAATTCTCACGGGGTCGTGACGTCGACGAATACAGCAGACTACAGTTAGAAGTTCTTGCCGAACTTGCGGCCTGCAAATTGAAGGTGAGATTGCAGTAATGCCCACTGGCACTGATAGCGGTGAACAGAGCGTCGGCCGTCGATCAACTGACAAGCGGCGAAGCGTGTCGACATTTACACATGCGTCATCGAATATTCTAGCGTTATTGCTAGCGGCGACGTAGGTTCCAGAATAACCTGCAATGTTCACGAAGTGGGCCTAATCTTAACAAAACGATCTACTGCAGTCCTCAAGCTTCTCGAACAGTATAGGCGCCGTTTGCGCTGATAATTATTGATCGTGAAATGGAGGGATAACAAAAATTGGGGAGGGAACTTGGTATAGTCGGTTACAACCTAAGAGGAAGTACAAGTGCCGCACCCAAAACTGCGGCTCACCTGCCATTCATCTGTGAGAAAGAGAGACGTGCATTGTGGTTTTGGTTGCAACCGTAAGTAATTTTTAGCTGCTAATATAGATACTATGCGCAATATATTTACAAAAATCATCGCCCCATTTTGAAACATTACGTTTGACAGAGGATGATGTGAAAAATTTTGCGGGAATGGCGCAAAAAGTGAACGTTTTCCACCAAAACCAGCAGCACCATCATGTCTCTGCATAACGAAACCACCAATCTAAAGTACGCTAAAGGCACTTAGCATCACAGAAATCAGCTAATCTAATTTAATGAGCCACCAATGCAAATTTTCACGGAGAGGAGGAGTTGCGGTTGTAGGTGGAGCCTACAGTAATCTTAGGCTGTAAACGACTATAGCAAATAGAAATATACTTTCGTAAAGAGTATCCACTCAAGCCTTTTCGCAGCCGAGCATGGAGGGGCCTGAACATCTGCGACATGGCGCACCCATGCCACAGAACACCTACATACTATCATTCACAGAAGGGAAACTGTACCCTTGACAGTGTAATGAAAATAAGGGTAGCGGTGGCATTGCAAACTAACTTATCCGACATAGACATGGCGCTGCTAAAACTATCATCAGCTATCTCTATCACTGTATGCAGTGACGGAGACCCACCTGAGAAACCCCGAAGAACCACCTACACATGAAGACTGGTGCTGGCTGGGAAATAATAGATCCTGAACCAGCCGAAAAGGTGGAGGAGTCGGTTTTATGTGGTGGCGGGACATCCAATGGCAAGGTGCCGGAAGAAACTGCAACGACCATATGTGCATAATGGGCGAGATCGTGGGGATTTCTGCCGCGGTGTGCGTTTTATATATGGCAATGAGTGGTACTCGGCTAGAGGCCAACGAGGCTCTGATAGAGTGTGTGTGCCAGGACTCAGAGTGCATGACCGACGGCCGGGAAGTTTTGATCCTTGGAGACGTTAACGGCCATATATCAGAACTGGATGCATACACGGACGCAAATCGTAGCCTCTTGATGCAGTTGGCGGAACGTCTACAACTGGATATTGCTAGTCTTGATCCCAGATGTGAGGGAAAACACACATGGTGGGCTCGAGGCAGGGCAACGTCTACTGACTATGTTCCCTTATCGCATAACATAACTCGTCTGCTCAACTCCATCGATATAGATGAAGAATGACATTATAGCGTTGGAAGTGATCATAATCGTATTCGGATTGACTTCTTTCGCACACAACACCTCCAACCAAAGCGCCGCATGACATCTGAGGGTCAAATGCACCTTCCAGCTAGAGCTATTGAAACGGTGGCTGCAGAACTTGAGGACAGTGAACGGCGACGAGAGGCAAAAACGAGGAATGCGTCAACATACTGCGCAGTATCATGCGACGGCACATGTCCCGCAACAAGAGCCTTGTGCTCCACATGCGCGAACAGTGGTGGGACAAGGAAGTCGCTCAGGCGTGGCAGGCACGCCGAGAAGCAAACCGTGCCCACCTCCGTGTGGTCAAGACAAAAGACCCCGAGGCTTGTAGCGACAAACGGCAGCACTACGTGAAGGTGAAGCATGAAATGCAGGCCCTGGTTCAAATGAAGCTAGCCAATGCCAATAGCAAGATGCTACGGGACCTGCGAGAGGAGGGAAAGCCAATGGCTGCAAAATTCTGAAACTATGTCTGGCCGCTTGATAGAAAAGAACAGCCGGAGCTCCAAATCATGGACAGTGAAACAGGACAGCAGGTTGTAGACCTTAAAGGGTATGTAACGACATATTTAGTGGCCCTGTATAGTCCTGCAAACGCAAAGGACAGTCATACTAGCAAGACTCGAAGTGTGCCGACCACTCCGCACCTCTCAGAGACAAACTAGGCTTTCTCATACAAGAGTGTCAAACGGGCACTCTCACGCCTTCGGACGCACACAGCCACAGGTCATAACGGCTTACCAGCTAGCCTAATTAAGTGCCTAGGCTCAGACTGCAAAGAACAGTTGGCCAGTTTCTTCACCAACATGTTGGATGGCGAGGAGATACCCAAAGAATCGTGACTCGGCAGAGTAGTGCTGATCCTCAAGAGAGGAGGCAATGCAAGTCATCTAAGCGACTACAGACCACTGACAGTCGCCTGCACGCTATACAGAGCCTTCACGCAAGTGATAAAAGACTGTGTCTCTGAGTGGGCGGAGTCCAAAGGTCTCACAGAACTGCAGAATGACTTCCGAAAGGGCAGACGGTGGGAAGACAACCTCTTCGTGATTACGCAGTGTGGCGAGATTGCCAGAAAAGAAAATCGTGGACTGCTTTGCTGCTTGCTGGATGTGGAGAGATCATATGACAATGTTCCGCATGCCAGTCTCTTTAACTGCCTGAGGGAGCTGGGTCTCGCACAAACATTACTTAGAACAATTAAGCAGTTGTACAGCAGCAACACAGTTACGACGTCCTTTGCTTTGATCACGTGAGAATCTGTGGGGGTTTAGAGGGGTCTTCGTCAGGGCTGCCCACTATAGCCGATACTATACCTATTGTATGTGTCCGGATTTGAGCGAGCGATAGAGAGGTCTTCTCTTGGCTTCAGCTTGAAGTACAGTACTACCATATAGACAAAGATCGCAAGATACCGGGACTAGCGTTTGCAGATGACATCGTTTTAATGACAGAAAGCCATCAAGACATGCAGGAACTACTCAACATCTGTGCAGCGTAAGCCGAAAAGCTGGGGCTTCACTATAACGCCAAGAAGACGACGGTAGCTGGTGGGTGTGACACTGGGCAACGAAACCCTGGCACTGTCTGGACAGGCGTGGGGGGTTGCCTCATCTTACAAGTACTTAAGAGTGACGCTGTGTGCAGGAGGCGACATTTATAGGGAACACGAGGAAATAGTCAGACGGATGGCCCTGCGGGCACAGTGGGTTCTCCAGCGCAGAAGCATATAGGGATTCAATAGATATCTCCCGGTTCGCGACATGTGGAAGCTTGTGCATGTGCCGGCACTGAATTACTGCAACGCCGTTGTCTGCCAGTCTGATGCGACCAGGGAATGGCTGGAACGACGGAAGCGAGAGGTCGGCCACACTGATTTGGGATCACATGGGGCAGTGGCTATTAAGGCTGTTCAAGGAGATCTCGGGTGGTCCATCTTCGAAGCACGGGAGGCGGCAAGCAGACTGACCTACCGTGGCCGCTTGCCTTTTCTGCAGAAGGAGTGACTCGCCCGACACGTCTTTGACTACCTCCCAGCGACGTGAATGCGCACCAACTGGACAACCGCATATACCGCCTTGAGAAAAAATATGGCTTCTTCCCGGCGGACACATGGCAGAAATATGTGAAGGATGTGCACGACCGTGTCCAGGAGAAGGAAAAGGAGCTGTGGCTGCAAAGGATGGGGAGTCAATGTCTGGCAATAAAAGTGTGTCATTGTCTGGCAATAAAAAAACAATGGGGGCGTAGCCTAGTGGTAAATACACACGTTTTCAGAGCATGGGGGTACGGTTTCAAATCCCAGCATCGGAAACAATTTTTCTTGTTTTATTTATGCATAAGACATTATCGGTCTTATGCATAAGTAAAACAAAACGGCGGTCTTATTGGCCTTATGCATAAATAAAATACAACTGCGTTGCTTTCAGCGCCACTCGTGGCGCTGAAAGCAACGCAGTAGCTCGGCCGCAGGGCCCTACGGGAGTGACGACTTTTTACGCATGTATGGTTCTTTATGACTATAGTAACATCTGCGCTATTGTCAAAAAACCGCCATGAAACCACGTTCACGCTGGTACGATTTGTCATCAACGTACCTTTTCACCGTGCCGTCCATATAAGTGACATTGTAGCGTCCATAAGGTAACTTGCTTAATTCATTCCGATCAACGTATGTCTGTTCGAACACCACGCACTGTATTTTCCCCTCTGGTTCTGTCATGGCCACCAAGGTGAAAAACTTGAATGTCTGCAACAGCTGCGTAATGAAATGAGTGATCACAAATTCTTTCTAATGAACGCCTTCAAAAAGTGTTGTATTTGGCCTAATCGGCGTACTGTATTCAGGAAAGTTGACACACTAACTGAGGCTCGCGCCAGCTCCCCCCCCCCCCTCCCCGCTCCTACCCCTAAAAAAAAAGGCTTCGAGAAGTCCCAACCTTCAGACACATCCTTAACAGTGTGCATGCTTATTGGACCTCTCATTATATTCCACAGTACTGCTACTCACCGGGTATTGTGACAGGATGGTAAATTGCACGAAGCGATCTGCTGCACCACTGAGATGTCAACCATGCCATCGACCGAATCACATGTCGTCGAGTTACACTAAAGGTTTGGCTGTGGTCTCCGTCATTAGCTTCGGCGAGGTACTTTGCCAGAGCTGATCGGAGAGGCTTTTGTTGTGCTTTGTTCGGCCACTGCTTTGTTCAGCCAGTGCTTTGTTCAGCCACTCGCGTGAAGTGCCACCATTCCGCCGCATGACGGGATACGCTGGTAACCTAGCCACGTAGCTTCTAAGCAAATCCATGGTCCTATAGACGTTTGTACGCCTAATGTAAGCGAGTATATACGTTCGATTTAGGGAAAGCTTAAAGTATGAATTTCTCTGCGCATTTCCGCGATGAGAGAATGGGGGCAACCGAAGCATGATTAGTTGCGTACCTGACGTACTACACCTTTTTAACTCGTTCATTCTACCCCATTATACAATGCTTCTTTACAACCTTTGATGTTTAGTTCAGTTTATTCTCTCATGGGACGCAACAAACTTAAGGAATGAGTGCCTGTACAACAAGCACAATAACAAACAAATGACAAAGCACAACATATATTACACATTTAAACAAAAGTGTCCAGGTCCATAGGGTGTCCATAGTCCATGGTACTAATAACCACATAGACTACATATATACACTAATCACAATATGAACAATGTACATGATGGTACATGTACAGAATTTACAAGACTTGGTGAGGATGTTAGGAAATATGTACAACAGGTATTAATATTCGTAAAAACTGCATAACCTACACGTTAGAATAAAGTACATATATACAAGAACTCACACCGATACGGGGCATATACAAACACATAAAAATAGTAGACACATACAGATTACATGCTCTAATCAGACAGTGACAGGTGACCTGGCTATAGGAACCACGCCAGGTGTAAGACTAATCGAACACGTCTGTCAACTACGGACAGAAAGCGTCACGACCATTGTCGCAGAAATTCTTCCTCCCTAAGGAAGAACAATTCCTCGGACAGAAACGATAAGAGTTCAGAGTAATAAGCGTTCCAGAATCAGAAAGAGAGCACGACGACAATGACCTGCCGCAACAGCCTCGCACCTATTAAGCCACAAACAAAAAGCTCCCGCAGCTATTAGAAGGCGTGCAAAGCGACTACGCGAGCAGTGACCAGATGTTACAAAGCGATTAACCCCTAGGCCACGAAAACTAGTGTGAACGGACTTCCAAAACACCTTTGCAATGATACATTGCTGCAGCACATGCTGGTTAGACTCCTGTAACGGGCAGTTAGAACAAGTGGAAGATGGGACCATGCCCAACTTCTCCAGTCTGTCCCGTGTTGCGAGTACTCTCCATCCAAGACGACACAAAGTCACGGAGGTGACCAGGAAAAAACGATGCCGTTATCGCGCTCCACGAGACATGTCTCGATCGTACTAGACGGGCTGGAGGAACCAGAGGAAGCAGAAGAGCCACCATTGTATCTAATATGCGGCTTTCGAGAACGTCCACATCGGGACAAGCTTGCTGCGCGTGTCGGTAAAATGCTACTGCCGCTCAGTAAAATGCAGGTACGTTAAGTGTTTGCGGTGCAGAATTAAGCCGTGCATCTGGTAGTAAATAGCGTATCTTGGTGCCTAAGAAATAGCAGGCAAGATCACGCGCGGGGCACTCATCACCGTGCAACAACCCAAGTAAGAATCGTAGGGCAAGCAGCCGGCAGCGAACAGAGACGGATGGGAATGCGAATCCACCGCAGTTTCTCGGTTGCCCAAGAGCTGCTCGGCAAACCAGCTCTGTTACACCCGACCAGAAAAATGAGCCAATGAGCGATTGCAACGACCTAGTGATTCGTAATGGGGGCTGTACGACATGAGATATGTACCATGAATGGCCCCAAAACACCATCTGTGCTAAATACCTTCTTTCGAGCATCGGAAAATGACACTTCTGTGCTTCCCGGACGTGTCGATTTACGTCTTCGACTAGTGAAACCCACAAGGAGGCTGATAAGCCGTGGCAAGTATAATCAAGCCCCAGTATGCGAATGGAGTCACTTTTTTGAAGACCAAAAAAGGGACTTAGGCAGGCGTCTGGGGAACCATCGAATAAATATCGACATTTCGAAAAATTTAACGCAGCACCTGAAATCGTGCCATACGCTGCAAAAAGTCGTAGGCTACGGGATAAGCTGTCCTCATTCTTTGAATACAACGTGATGTCATCAGTAAATGCTGTCACTGTCACGGTACCACTACCTGAAAGAGATAGCCTCGAACGTATGGATCAGCGATTAGCGATTGCATGAATGGTTCGAGGCTGAGTACAAAAAGTGGAGGGGATAAAGGACACCCCTGGCGAACACCACGGGTAACAGGAAATGGCGCACTCTCTATACCACCAAGAAACAACGTGCTGCGTATATTTTGGTATGCGTTTCTGAGAAGCTCAATAAAGTTTTGGGAGAAGCCACATTCTGCCATTACGCTAAATATAAAGCTATTTTCGAGGCGATCGAAGGCTTTTTCCTGGTCAAGTGAAACCAACAGTCCCCGAGCTGATCTTGTTAACGTGTACGCAACTATATCACGCGTAACAAAGTAGAGACTGTGGATTTCTCTTCCAGGAATAGGGCACGCCTTATGCTGACCCATTAAGTAGAGCATCAGGCTTCTCAAACGCCGAGTGATAACGGCCGCGAAAGTTTTGTAATCAACGTTGAGGAGCGTTATTGGTCTCCACTCCTCTGGGCGAAGTGACGATGGGTCATGTTTAGGTAATAAAACAATTCGACCATGGCGAAAGCTATCAGGGAAATCAAAGTTCTCAAAACAGCGGCAAACAACAGGGGTGAAAAGAGCACCAAGTTAGTTCCAAAACGTTAAATAAAACTCAACAGGCAACCCGTCCGGCCCAGGGGCCAAGCCACGCTTCGTGGAAGACAGTGCCTTTTTCACTTCGTCAGCTGACGGACTTGTGCAAAATTGTTCAGCTACTTATGATGAAATTTGTGGGGGCCTGCTTAACATTGTGGCTGTCTCGGTGGTACCGCGATGTGACGACACTGTCGTACGAGCCATGTTGGCAAAGTGAGCTAGGAAAACTGATTGATCACGTGTCGGCGGCAACGCAGTTGGTAAGTATCTGGCGGCCTGAGTTCCTAGTCGACTCGGCGGGTTGAGAAGCGAGCTTTTCGCAAAGCGTAGAACCTCAGGGTGAGCACATGGATTACGTCTGCAACGCCAAGCAGCCGCCGTCAACGACGAAGCTGCAGTAAGGCGTTGGAAACGACCGGTTAACTCTCGCTGCCATGCGCGCATTAAGGGAGTTAGCCGATCAACCCGACGTGCAATACGCAGTTTTGTGGCAGTGTCCGCTAGTTCTTTGGTCGTGGGAGGTGCGACTCACCCGGTAGGACCTGGGAAGCCAGAGGGCAACCTTGGACCAGGCCGAGTGACTGGCCCGAGCAGCTAAGCAGCTAAGGGCCCGAGCAGCTAAGGTTTCAGTGTTCAGTGGGCTCCACCCACGGAAACCTTAGTACGCCATTTCAATAAATGTTTGTTCCTCCTCCTCGGACGCACGGCGTCTAAGGGCCCACCCTGCTACTGAGCAGTGTACACGCCACTGTGTCTTGAGCGCGTCCCACACCTCCGGGCCGGATCCCAAAACAGAGGTGCGCAAGATTCTAGATAAACTGGAGCGTGAACGCGCGTCGTGCAGAATGCGGATGTCAAGACGCCAAGGTCTCACTGATGGTAAAAAGGAAAAGTAAGCCTCGAGCGTCACTAATCGGTGGTCTAATATATAAACAGGGGATGGTGGTAATGTTACTTAATCGGAGTGCTATACGCAAGAAGCTAGCGCACTCGGCATATAGAAACGATCTAACCGACTAGACGACATGCTACGCCGCCAAGTCCAGGCATACTGTGGTCCATGTACTAGTCTGTACGTATCTATCAAAGAGAAATGTTGGACCAGGCAACGCAGCTCTCGCGCGTTGCAATCAGAGCGACCCCATCCTGGACTTTGCACGTCAGCTCGCGTGTCTAATACACAATTAAAGTCTCCAGGGAGTATGACATGACGACCGTCTAGAAAAAACACGTCCAGGTCACGGAAAAAATCGTTAGACATTGCTGTTTGAGCTGGCTCATGAATACACAAAATGCGCAGCTTGATGGATGATAGGACGCAGTCGAAAGCTCATACCCGTCCAATCCCGTCGTAGAAAACATGATAATTGTGTAAGCGCGGTTAAAAATAATAATTCCAATTCCACTAAAGTGGGGTGTCGCGAAAGAATAATATCAGTTTAAATTAAATGCGCGTTTGAATGCACCACGAACAGGGCCAATGGTAAAAAAAAATTGTTTTTTAAACACACACAATGTTCTTCGCGGGCTATGCTGATAACGTCAGCTTGCTTTACTGGGTTACTGAACCCTTGAACATTAAAAGAAATGATTTTCAGGGTGTTATGTATATTGAAATGATTGCGAGTGACTAACCTGGTCGTGTTTTTCGATTCGGTACCCCGGGGATCTGTCCGGGAGAAGTGGAGTACATACACTACACAGCACAATTCGACCCTCCAGAAGAGGGTCGTGGCTTCTTCAGTTGCTGGGATTTGGAGCGGCTATCTTGGGTGCCGTCTGAGCTGGTGCCAGACTTGTGAATACGCTTGAAATGTCGCGGGGCTTGCATTTCTACGTCACA